ACATCCAAAAGTTGGAAGCCTCTCTGCACCTACTATCTATGGATTTCTCATCATCGCTGCCACACTACCAGTGTCACGCAACATGCGTATTTAAATAGCACACAAGCCACTGCAAGCAAGCTCCTGCATGCTCAATCCGGCAAAAAGCTTGTCACAGCACATGTCGGGCGAAGCACAGCAAAAAATACGGATCCAAACTTGCACGAGCCGTTCGAGCCAAACGTTGCCAACTTATGCTCCACACAGCTGATTGGAACAGCTCGACGCCTCTTGACACTTCTGGTCCGAAGGTATCCCTATACTGCACAACTCCATGCTTTCTCTCTGACTCAGGCGTCATCTTCTTCAAATCTCAAAATCTGGGGTTCTTGAATCAGAACTTGGAACGACAACATGCTGCATCCTTGCCGCCTCGAATGTTGATCTGTTGAGCGAAGGACAGGAAAACAAGCGCCTCACAAGTACCAGCGAAGCTATGCTTGGGCCTCCCAATTCAGGGGCTCATCTCCTTGAACCCTCCTTGCGTGCACTAGCTCGGTCGCGTCTGTCAAGACGTCTTCATGAGACATCCAAGAGTTGGAAGCCTCTCTGCACCTACTATCTATGGATTTCTCATCATCGCTGCCACACTACCAGTGTCACGCAACATGCGTATTTAAATAGCACACAAGCCACTGCAAGCAAGCTCCTGCATGCTCAATCCGGCAAAAAGCTTGTCACAGCACATGTCGGGCGAAGCACAGCTACAAATACGGATCCAAACTTGCACGAGCCGTTCGAGCCAAACGTTGCCAACTTATGCTCCACACAGCTGATTGGAACAGCTCGACGCCTCTTGACATTTCTGGTCCGAAGGTATCCCTATACTGCACAACTCCATGCTTTCTCTCTGACTCAGGCGTCATCTTCTTCAAATCTCAAAATCTGGGGTTCTTGAATCAGAACTTGGAACGACAACATGCTGCATCCTTGCCGCCTCGAATGTTGATCTGTTGAGCGAAGGACAGGAAAACAAGCGCCTCACAAGTACCAGCGAAGCTATGCTTGGGCCTCCCAATTCAGGGGCTCATCTCCTTGAACCCTCCTTGCGTGCACTAGCTCGGTCGCGTCTGTCAAGACGTCTTCATGAGACATCCAAAAGTTGGAAGCCTCTCTGCACCTACTATCTATGGATTTCTCATCATCGCTGCTACGCCTACCAGTGTCACGCAACATGCGCATTCAAATAGAAGACAAGCCACTGCAAGCAAGCTCCTGCATGCTCAATCCGGCAAAAAGCTTGTCACAGCACATGTCGGGCGAAGCACAGCAAAAAAAAGGGATCCAAACTTGCACGAGCCGTTCGAGCCAAACGTTGCCAACTTATGCTCCACACAGCTGATTGGAACAGCTCGACGCCTCTTGACATTTCTGGTCCACAAGTATCCCTATACTGCACAACTGCATGCTTTCTCTCTGGCTCAGGCGTCATCTTCTTCAAATCTCAAAATCTGGGGTTCTTCAATCAGAACTTGGAACGACAACATGCTGCATCCTTGCCGCCTCCAATGTCGATCTGTTGAGCGAAGGACAGGCAAACAAGCCTCACAAGTACCAGCGAAGCTATGCTTGGGCCTCCCAATTCAGAAGCTCATCTCCTTGAACCCTCCTTGCGTGCACTAGCTCGGTCGCGTCTGTCAAGACGTCTTCATGAGACATCCAAAAGTTGGAAGCCTCTCTGCACCTACTATCTATGGATTTCTCATCATCGCTGCCACACTACCAGTGTCACGCAACATGCGTATTTAAATAGCACACAAGCCACTGCAAGCAAGCTCCTGCATGCTCAATCCGGCAAAAAGCTTGTCACAGCACATGTCGGGCGGAGCACAGCTAAAAATACGGATCCAAACTTGCACGAGCCGTTCGAGCCAAACGTTGCCAACTTATGCTCCACACAGCTGATTGGAACAGCTCGACGCCTCTTGACATTTCTGGTCCGAAGGTATCCCTATACTGCACAACTGCATGCTTTCTCTCTGGCTCAGGCGTCATCTTCTTCAAATCGCAGAACCCGGGGTTCTTGAATCAGAACTTGGAACGACAACATGCTGCATCCTTGCCGCCTCGAATGTTGATCTGTTGAGCGAAGGACAGGAAAACAAGCGCCTCACAAGTACCAGCGAAGCTATGCTTGGGCCTCCCAATTCAGGGGCTCATCTCCTTGAACCCTCCTTGCGTGCACTAGCTCGGTCGCGTCTGTCAAGACGTCTTCATGAGACATCCAAAAGTTGGAAGCCTCTCTGCACCTACTATCTATGGATTTCTCATCATCGCTGCCACACTACCAGTGTCACGCAACCTACGCGCATTCAAATAGAAGACAAGCCACTGCAAGCAAGCTCCTGCATGCTCAATCCGGCAAAAAGCTTGTCACAGCACATGTCGGGCGAAGCACAGCTACAAATACGGATCCAAACTTGCACGAGCCGTTCGAGCCAAACGTTGCCAACTTATGCTCCACACAGCTGATTGGAACAGCTCGACGCCTCTTGACATTTCTGGTCCGAAGGTATCCCTATACTGCACAACTCCATGCTTTCTCTCTGGCTCAGGCGTCATCTTCTTCAAATCGCAGAACCCAGGGATCTTCAATCAGAACTTGGAACGACAACATGCTGAATCCTTGCCGCCTCCAATGTCGATCTGTTGAGCGAAGGACAGGCAAACAAGCGCCTCACAAGTACCAGCGAAGCTATGCTTAGGCCTCCCAATTCAGGGGCTCATCTCCTTGGACCCTCCTTGCGTGCACTAGCTCGGTCGCGTCTGTCAAGACGTCTTCATGAGACATCCAAAAGTTGGAAGCCTCTCTGCACCTACTATCTATGGATTTCTCATCATCGCTGCTACGCCTACCAGTGTCACGCAACCTACGCGCATTCAAATAGAAGACAAGCCACTGCAAGCAAGCTCCTGCATGCTCAATCCGGCAAAAAGCTTGTCACAGCACATGTCAGGCAAAGCAAAGCAAAAAGTACGGATCCAAACTTGCACGAGCCGTTCGAGCCAAACGTTGCCAACTTATGCTCCACACAGCTGATTGGAACAGCTCGACGCCTCTTGACATTTCTGGTCCGAAGGTATCCCTATACTGCACAACTCCATGCTTTCTCTCTGGCTCAGGCGTCATCTTCTTCAAATCGCAGAACCGGGGTTCTTCAATCAGAATTTGGAACGACAACATGCTGCATCCTTGCCGCCTCGAATGTTGATCTGTTGAGCGAAGGACAGGAAAACAAGCGCCTCACAAGTACCAGCGAAGCTATGCTTGGGCCTCCCAATTCAGGGGCTCATCTCCTTGAACCCTCCTTGCGTGCACTAGCTCGGTCGCGTCTGTCAAGACGTCTTCATGAGACATCCAAAAGTTGGAAGCCTCTCTGCACCTACTATCTATGGATTTCTCATCATCGCTGCCACGCTACCAGTGTCACGCAACATGCGTATTTAAATAGCACACAAGCCACTGCAAGCAAGCTCCTGCATGCTCAATCCGGCAAAAAGCTTGTCACAGCACATGTCAGGCGAAGCAAAGCAAAAAGTACGGATCCAAACTTGCACGAGCCGTTCGAGCCAAACGTTGCCAACTTATGCTCCACACAGCTGATTGGAACAGCTCGACGCCTCTTGACATTTCTGGTCCGAAGGTATCCCTATACTGCACAACTCCATGCTTTCTCTCTGGCTCAGGCGTCATCTTCTTCAAATCGCAGAACCCGGGGTTCTTCAATCAGAATTTGGAACGACAACATGCTGCATCCTTGCCGCCTCCAATGTTGATCTGTTGAGCGAAGGACAGGACAACAAGCGCCTCACAAGTGCCAGCGAAGCTATGCTTGGGCCTCCCAATTCAGGGGCTCATCTCCTTGGACCCTCCTTGCGTGCACTAGCTCGGTCGCGTCTGTCAAGACGTCTTCATGAGACATCCAAAAGTTGGAAGCCTCTCTGCACCTACTATCTATGGATTTCTCATCATCGCTGTCACGCCTATCAGCGTCGTGCAAGCTACATGCGTGAGCAACAGCAGCAAGCCCACGTAACCAAGCCCCTGCATGCTCAATGGTCGACCGCTCCGACAAGGGCAACGTCACACTCCTGTGTGTAGCTACTTGCCGTCCATTCACTGAATGTGGAAAACATGTTGTTCACCTCCGGGGTTGCGTGTCTCGGAAATCCCTTCCGGTAATATCACAGTGGTCCACTTCTACAACTAGTTTTGACACTATGAAGGGGACGTTCTTGGTATCACAGGCCCTCGAACCCGTTGTTCCACCATTGGCAGTGGGCTAGTAACAACTGGCAGTCGCCCCTCTCCGAGGTGTGTGCTTTTTGTCCTCGCGCCGGGAAAAGCTCTGAGCTGAATTCGACGCAAAGGGCTCAACTGCACGAGTGCTCCTATGGAAGGGCGTGGTCCAAATGAATGGTGGTGCCTGAGTGTCTGTGGTTGTTTAGTTTTTGGTGGTCTGGAACATCAGTACGCCGTAACCCCACCTACGAGTTATGTGTAATACACTGTACGGAGGGATTCTGTCTCCCCCAAAAGCACCAAGGCCCCCCCAGTGACAGCCTCCCTCTAATTGGTGGAGTGGTTTGCTGGATTGCAGACTAGGGGGTGCCTTCCCATTAACCCTCTACAAGAACTGGGGTTCCAAATCCCCAAAACGCCAATTGGCGATCACCAGTGCGTGTTTGTGTCAAAAGTCGAAAGCAATTCGCTGGCGATTTCTCCCGAACCCTCCTGGGATTCTTTTGTCTGCCTTCCGGACGCGCTCAATTACGAGGTTTCGCTAGGTACCTTCCGGAGCTCCTGCAGAAGAGACCGATCAGTCTAAGGGATTTGCCACAGACCTGCTGAGCTGATCAGCCCAAACAGCTTGAAAACACACAAATTGAGCAACAAGCACGAAAACATGGCCCTGCTCAGCAAATGTTAGTGTTTTCACCTTTCTTGAATGGAAAACACCTGCCAAAAAGAAGAAACAAACACGGTTTGCCAGCAGGTGAGGCCACTAGCGAGGCCTTCAAATGAACGGATGTCTTTGCCACCGCAACTCGGCCGGCAAGTCCGCTGGCCAGGCTCAGGCTTATAGCGGAAATCCAGCGCATCCTGAGCCAAACGCACCACTTGCCTAGAAGAAGATAGACAAGGGAGCCTCAGAGTGGGAGTCTGCTACATTTCCTGGCCACTCACCACGTGCCGCTAAACCAATGGCAACACCCATGCACAACAATGATTTCAAGCTGCTTTTGTGGGACCCTCTGAGAATTTGGCCGTGGTTCCTGCATTGAATATACAAAGCTTGCACAACCCTTCCAAACAAAAGAAGTTCCGCAAAGGTATGCAGCAAGCATGAGCAGCGCCTGAAACCCTGACGCTTGCTTCTAATCAGGTCAGGACACAATCACATGTAGAACCCCCACTCACCTTTCATTACAATGGGCATCCCTGTACCCAATTTAGCAGGGACCACCATCGCAGCTTTTTCTAATTTCGCGAACGCCCCTCAGAATGATCACGTGTAAAGACCCCAGGAAGATCGTCCCAAACTTCGGGGTGGTGCGTTTGGGGTGCGGGGGGTTAATTCATGGACCCTGCCACCCCACACGTCCGGGCCCAAGCCTCCTACACCAGCACCTCCTCCTCTTTGCTGGCCTTTAGCACCTGGCGGCGGCCATTCATCCCGTGAGACGCTTTTTCCATTTGGATTTCCGCCCCCTGCGAATGAGAAAATATGTCCAGTAGTGAAGTCGACTTCCGACAAGTTGGAAGGACGCCACTTCCCCCATGCGGCATCAGCCATGTTGAAGCAATGGTCGCTTGGGCCCCCTTGCAAATAACACCCTGCGCGATGTTCAAACCGAATTTAAAGCCTCCAAAAACACCTAAGAGATGTGCAAACATTCCCTGGTGCCGGGGTCTTGGGGTTTTTCAACATGTGCAACCAATCCCGCCTGGTCCCGCTGCTCCACGGCGCAGTCGCAGCTAAAGGAGCCCGGCACATTGCAGTGGTAGGTCTCCGTCATGTTCTTCGCCTGAAGCGCTGGACACTCAGGCTGTGCACATGAAGCCATTGGAGTAGATCAGGGATCCTTACACTATACACCTGAACATTGCCTTGTACTTGGTGGTTTCCCTTTATTTTGGTGGAACAAATGGGCAAAATGTATCTTTTAAGGAGCCCTGTAGATGTATGGATATGAGGGTTGATCAAGAGGTCCGCATTGGCTGGAACTCACTAATAAATATATATATATATATATATATCTATAAATAAATAAATATCTATATATATATATCTCCCACTTGGGAAAAGTTACCCACGGTCATTGGGGGGCCAGGAACATTGATCAATCCCCATATATGTGTTTATCCACACACACATGCACACAAGGCTAGTGTTTCATCCACTGTAGCCGCTGTGATGCACGTACCACTACCCTGGAAGTCTTTCTCATGTGATCTGATTGACTGCCCTTGTGAGCAGGTTGGTTGCTCACCGAATTCAGCAACATCCGCGTAAAGACTAGGACTGCCTCCGCCTGAAGTTCAGAAGCCCGTGGAAACTGGATCTGTAAAGGCTTCAAACTGAAAAAGCGAGCCGCACATGGCTACGACTTTTCATGGTTGGAACCCCCTCAACTGGTTGGTGGACATAAATGCCCACCATGATGTCCGCCAAAGGGTCCGCCATGAAATTCACACCCACGTAGCGTCAGCTTAAGACGAAAAGCCCAAGGCACCGAGGACCTCTCGTGCTTTTGAATGAATCAGGTCTCCGGGACCAACACCCCCGTTTTGTTGGCAAATTAAAGACCATGGGAAACATGATGGCTGTCCCTTTCTTCTTATAGCTTTGAATAGAGGGGCGGTCTTCTTCCCACTCACTCGTTCATCTTGCTCTTCGGAAATAATAAGCTGTTCTGCGGGTGAGGCATTTTTTGAGGATACCCAGTTTGGGATACGACTTTAAAGGACATGAACGCCTCCGTTTCGCAGGGCTCGTTCTATTTCATGTTCACCCATTGCTCAAGCCGTGTTCATCGGTGTGCCCTTTACTAGCGGGGGATCCTTCACTTTCGGGGGGGGGGGGGGGACTATGACTCTGGGAGGCCATGGGCAGAACCTCGCCTCGAGGCCCATGATGGAGGCGGGGTAGTTGGCGTTCTGCTGGGTGTCCGTGAAGCTGGACCACCAGTTCTGGGTGCCCTCGAACCTGACCCATTCGGCCCACAAAGCCCAGGTGTGAATGTTGGTGCACGGTTCGCTTTGGGATGTCTTTAAACACGCTTATTGATTCATTCATGTTATCTATGCTGTGGAGGTCGAATAAATCACCCTTTGGGGGTTGGGCCCCTTTTAGGAGCGTCTCAGAACCGAGCCTGGGCCCGTGGTCGACTTAAACTTTTGCCAAACCCGGATCTGTTTTGCAGGCAATGATGAGCTTAAGCCCCTCGATTAGGAAGCGATATGCCGTATACCCGCTATACCCCACAAGAATCAAACCCTTGATTCCCAGGCGAGACTGGAGAAAAACATATATACCCGATCTTACATTATACATTCGGGACTTCGGGACCGTGTCCAAATTTGGATTTCACAACGGCAGTCGGTTTTCCTTTCGGAACTTTTAAGCCGACCCCCAAAACCGGTCCGGTAATTACCTTAAAAACACGACGCCAGGCCGTAAACCTTCACTGATCCACCAGGTCCCTCCGCTTCACGCGCGATCACGCGCGGAAAAAAACCGCGCCTGGCGCCGGGCCCGGTCTCGCCCAGCTCCTCGGCCATGGCGGCCAAGGCGTCGGAGCCCCACTGCCACGTGACCTGCTCCACCGAGCTCCGGAGACACGCCGCCTGCCGCCGTGGTCGGCGCGGAGCGCGCCGAACGCGCCGAGCCCAGCAGCACCCCACTCACTAGGCCGGACCGAGTGGATGGCCCAACGAAACGGAACCGAACTTTTTATGTACCAGTCAGGGTCCAAAACCCAGAAAGTATGAAGTCCAGGAACTCAGGAAGTGAGACTACTGCTTTTTGGACAGTACTTGGGATTGAGGACATGGGGAAAAAACAAGTGCGCTGGCATGCCATTTTACGCTGGTCAAAGGTTGTTCGCCAACTAGGACTATCATGTTGACCATGCGAGTTGACCGGTGTGTTTTGTCCTTCCCCAGTTGCAACTTTGCCCCGAGAGGTGGACAAACTCATTGAAATAACATTCGGGGTCCATTTAGCGAACTCGAAACCCAAACAAAGGGGGCTAGGCGAATCTGTTCAAACCAGACCCAACAACCCGAGCGCAGCGATCAAAGGGAAACCAAATGGAGGTTTACACAAGATCGACGTAAACATGTTTTATGCAGTCCCTAAGAGGGGGTCGTCTCAGCGGGTGGGGGTTCCCTAAGGGTCGCGAAGGAACTCTAAGGCATGCGCGGGAGCCCTAAGGAACCCTGGGAGTCTGAACTACCTACCCCTGTAACCACCCCCCTTAGGCATTCCGTAAATGTTTAAACAAGGGGGTCACCAGGTTGGCCAACTAAACACACAACATGGTAACCAGCACTGAGCTCTCATTCAAGTCAAACCTCAGATAGCCCCCTGATGTTCTGGGAACACAAGACCAATTTCAAGAAATCCAGCCTCACTCCAAGCTCAACCCCACAACCCCAACAACCCCCTCCCGTCAAAGTCTTTGTCAAGGTACTAGTACTAGTACGGTGATCCCTTCTGTGGGTTTCACCATGTTCAGCTTCGGAATCAACCAATCCAAACGGGTTTTGAAGGGTGCCACTGAACAGGACTCCTGAAGGGATACATCCAAAAACCGCCCGCTTCACAAAACAGTTTCTCCAAATCAGCCATGTGCCTGGCCGAAACCGAGAAGGCAAACGTTTGGAGCCAAATATGCAGCCCACTTTGCGGTCGAGAGGCTTCGGCCGACAGGCTGGGCTGCAAGATCACCGCCTCCGGCACATCCCCTTTCACGTCCTGAGGTGAGTGGTCTTCCAATTGCTGTTCCGTCCCCGGGAAAAAACAGAATGAACATATGTCCAGGAGTGAAACTAGTCCCCTTAAAAACCAACACGTTGAAAACTGAAACATATAAATTTCAGCAAAGGGAAGTGAGGGTGGCTGGGTGGTCCGGGCGGCCGAGGCGGGCCCCAACTGCCTGCTCCTAGCCCCAAGTGCTGTCGCGAAAGCAGTTGCAAGGTGCTGGGTGGCCCTTTTGGAAAAAACAACCGACACCCACCCCATCCGAGGTTCTATTTCTTGCTTGAACTTGGAGTCCCGCTACTATGGATAACTGTGGATAACCCTTCAGCGGCCAAAAACAATCTTTCAACACCCGGCTTGAAGAAGACAAACCGGCAAACTACTCAAGAATGTTGGCATGATTCAGTCCAGCCTGGGCGAATCGGCCAAACAAGCTAGTTTTGTAGCTTGCCACTAAAGCATATTCCTATAAACAAATAGACACTCTTGAGAGTGAGGCCACGCAAGGCTAGCTCCGCTTGGAGGCCAAATTGAGGCAGGCCTTGCTTGGCCTGTGGGCACATTTCCTACGGGTCCAGGCCGCCTGTCATTCCAAATGACTACGGCCTACAATCTGGTTGCCGCGCCTATGGATTGTCTGGCGTCCATTTGAAACCGCCCCAAATTGGAACCTGTAAACAAGCACACCCACATAGCCCAAACTTGTTCAAATAAGGAAGCCACAAGTTATTGGGTTGGGCTTTAACTTTTCAATCAAACCCTGTACTGTATTTAAGACGGGGTGTGCAGTTTGCGGCTGTCAGACAAACATCCCCTGCAAATCAACATGGAACGCAAGGAGGGAGACCCCCCCAACAGGAGCATCCTCAAAACATGGTTGTTTGGATTCCATGCTAATCTGTAGGGTAGGCGCCCTGTTTGGGTCATACCAATGGTTTCAGTTACGTTCGACTTTACTGTTTTGTACTCGG